TTTAAAAAAAATATTAAATTATATATCAATATTCTAATGAGTAATTGTAAAAAAAGGATTATACATAAATAGCATCTCTCCAGCAAAGTTAAAAACATTTCGGCGTATAAATGAATTCTACTAGATGATGAGATCGATGGTACTTACGTTAAAGGTAAGACTGCTGCTGGTGAAGGTTGGTCGATTATCTGCCAGTGCCAGAACTTCGACTCGCAACGCACGGATGCTGTGTCGCGGCAAATGCCCAGCATCGGTCGCTTTTACAGACACCCGGTATACGTTGCGCTCCTCGTGGTCAAGCACGGCCTTGGTCCTGATCATGCCGGTGATCGGGTCGATGGTGAAGACGTTGTAACCATCTGAATCTCGGTCTGAGATGAAAAACAGAATCAGATACCGATCGAAAATATACTCTAAGCGATAAAAATTCAAAGAGAACAAAATTAAAGAACTAGACGAGCTTTTTCGAAATTTAACGTGGAGTTAAATTAAGTATTAAGTTTGACATGGAATAGAAAAGTTATTCGATATATATGTTATTTACTCCAAAGAGAGAAGCATGTATGTGCGAAATAAATGTCGCGATAAAGCGCGGAATGAAATATGCTAGACTTGGACTAGAAAGGTACATCGCTCTACGATAATACAAGTCCCGAATAAGCGATGTTAATATTTAATCTTATGATCGAAATTTTTTTTTCGTTTGTCTTTTTATGTCTATAAATACACGCAATCGGGCAAATTCAATGCCGATTGTAATCGGCGTGGAATGGGCCGCGTGCGCATTCTTCATAGACGATGCGTTTCTAACAGATAACAACACGCCCGGCAAGAACGCTTGCGACTGCTTTTAAGACCGTGCATAATTGTTTCTGTAATTGCTGCTGGGTTATTAAAGTTTCAAAAAGTCTCGCCCTTCCACGAGAGACAAGAGAGAAAGCGAGAGAGAAAGAAAGATCGGTAAAAAACTAAGTCGGCGCTGTCTAATCTCCGGCACGTAAGTACTTCCTCGCTATTTCTCTATTATTCCCGACTCTCCGCAACTGCCGGCATTCTCGTAACGAAGCAACGCAATTATTGGCCGCGCGCGTATACACAACTACTATAATTATAATTTATATATTTTCTTACTGAGATATAATCATATATATTCGTAAGGCAAAAGCGCAGGTTCCTTCAATTAGGCGAGCAGAGCATAACCGATTAGTCACGCACAGCAATTAATAAGTAATCGAGATGGAATCGCTCTCTCTCTCTCTCTCTTGTGTATCAAGACATAACATCCGAAATAAATTAAATTAACATTAATAGTAATAGTCTTACCTTTCAAGATACTGTAGGTCACCGAAGCGTTCTCACCGAGATCCGTGTCCAGTGCTCGCACTCTGGCGACTTCCGTTCCCGGTGGTTGCTCCTCTCTAACGCTAACGTTCTCCCCTTGAGGATCGACGATTTCAGGCGAGTTGTCATTGACATCTAAAACCATGATCTTCAAAGGCACCCTGGCGGCCCTCGACGGTGTTCCTTGATCCCGCGCCTCCAGGACCAGCTCATGGACGTCTTTCGTTTCACGATCGAGCGGCTCGCGCGTGGTAATCTCGCCTGACGAGCAAAGAGAAACAGAAACAATTTATTTTTATTGCGTTGAGCAATCGGAACCCCTGTGCGGTAAGCGAATTATTAACGATCTATTAGCAATTTCTCGCAGTACTTAGCCGTAGGTAGCATCTATTTGCAACCGCTACGGAATATTTATGACCGCGCGACAAAAACCATCGTACTAGTCTGCCTCGATATTAGACGAGGAATCTAATGGATCTTAGACGCTGACTATGAGACCAATCTCGCGATTGAAATCGCGTAGCGAACGGAAGAGC